AACCAGATTGCTAACGGACGGAAACTGTTTTCAGTTTTAAGGTAATAGTGACCTTTGACCCCTAAAATCAATAGGGTACTTTTACCCAATATGGACAATCATCCTATGAAGTTTGAACATTATGGGCCAAATAGAACTTAAGTTATGCTCCGGAAACCAAATTGCTAACGGACAGAAAATTGCTAACGGACGGAAACTGTTTTCAGTTTTAAGGTTATATTGACTTTGACCTTTTGACCCCAAAATCAATAGGGGTCTTCTACCCAATATGGACAATCATCCTATGAAGTTTGAACATTGTGGGCCAAATAGAATTTAAGTTATGCTCCGGAAACCAAATTGGAAAGTATATTTTTAATATCATTGACCTGTATATTTTTGGATATTATCGTTAATATTGATAAAATTTCAAGTTCCTGTGGAAAAAAAAACAAGTCATATTCTAATCTCTAGCATGCCTACCAAAGTTCATAATGAACAATGTCTTTCGTCCGCTCATTCATAAATGATATACAATACTGGTAAAAACCAATTAACCATTGAAAAGTTTATAAGAATATCTTGTCTACTAGTTCATCTTCACTTGCTGCATTTCTTGCTTGGACGCCCCTTTGATGCTTTGCATCAATGCTTTTCTTGTAGAGATATTAAATGAAAAAATAGGACATTATGATTAACACCATGTTTATAATAATGATTATGTTTTTGCAATGCTTATTTGAAAAGATTGTATTTAAGAAAAAGTTACTATACCTGCATTTCAATGTTTAATACAGGTATGTTATACAGTTAATACATATTTTTTGTCAATAAAAGATTCTTTTAGTTTTGAATATGGCCTTTGTATCTTGACATTAGACACATCTGCACATGTGTCTAATGATTTGACATGCTGAAATATGACCTTGACCCCCAAGTTCACTAGACACTACTGCATTATGGCAAAGTTCAATTGTATAGTAACAAAAAAATCTACTTCTGATCCTATACACCTTGAAAGTTTTTCTTATTAATGCAGCACACCTCCAGATTCATGCTAATTTTCATGAAAAATTTGAAAATGTGTTTAAAAGAATAGTATTGTCAAGAAACCAAAAGGAAGCAATTTACACATTATCAATGGCACTAACAACCCATGTAAATTACCAAAAATAGTTAAAATATGCTAAAATAGCTCTTACTGCGTTAGAAACGCAGTAGATATATAGTTAGAGATACTGAACAATCAGTCATATATTGCTCAAAACTTGTAAACAATTACTTGAATCTGGAATATTTTAACTTTTCCAAAAGTCTTAGTTCATCTTTCTCAAGTCTGATTTTTATTGTAATATTTTGGCTCATATAGAGGCATGTAGCTTTAATGCAGTGGCATAGCATTTTTTCACAAATACATTCTTGTTTCTAACAAAAATCAACAATTTGTTTAACTTCCACGGATAACAGTATCTAACGCCTATGTAAAAACTGGTTTGATTGCATGGCTACATAAAAAGGCATATATGAAAAAAAAACAACACATTAACACTTGCATTGTTTCAGATACGAATGTTATGATATCAGTTTAAGTTTATGGCATTATATCTGCCGTGCATTCATTGCTAACAATATTTAAATTCAGAGCCTCAATATAATCAGGTGAGCGATATAAGGACCATCATGGCCCTCTTGTTTCTTGAAGTCATTCCTATTATTTTCCTACTTTTTCATGAAAAGCCACTTTCAAGCCTGCATTGCTGTGAACACTTGAGGTCAAGGTCACACTTGAAGTTCAAAGGTCATATTTGAAGCTTGATAAATCCTATACTAGTTGAAGAATTTTCTTATATTTTGCTTAAATGTCCTTCTCAACAAGGTAATGTGGAAAATCCATGCTGTCACTGTGCATGCTCACGGTACACAGTCCTAGTGAAACTTGAAATGATTTTACAGGTCCTGTGAAACCTAGTATTTTTACAGGACCTAAATATTTTGTACAATTTTCCCTATTTATAATAATTATTAGGCATAAGTTTTTGAGGACAAGCGCAAGTGCATATAAATTGCATATTTGGAAGTGTTGATATTCCATTTAAAATACTTATAAGTTTTAAGATTGACCAAACATTCGGTTGACTAAAACAATACATGTATGTAAAAGTTTATTAAGTAACTCATATCAAAAATTTGTAACAATAAACAGCAAAATTACAAATGTTGTAAAGTGAACTGAATGCTTGCAGGCAGTCTAATGTGTTTTCTTCTCTATCATCTTTATCATAGGTTTTATGAAGCTTGTTTTGATTTAGTCAGTGCAGCCAGGTGACGTTGTGCTGAAATTAAAAAAAAGAAAACACTTCAGTAAAACACTAGAGTGGGTGGACCAACGCTCGGCTTAAAAATACTATATTTGATATGGAAAATTCAAATCAACGTCAACAAACCTCAATGTTATATGTCCATTTTCAAGACCGATGGTATTGTTTTAAATAGCCATTGTGTAAAATTCGCTAATCACATAATGATATGCATGGCTGGAGCTACAGATAGTCCGGATAAACAAGAGTGGTTTGCGTGAAATTGTACCATAGCTCGGCGTACAATACTACATGATGCAGGATTGTTTTTCGAATAAAATCTCTTTTTTATCTTATAAGAAAACATATTGAATAAATTGTAACAACCAAGTTAGGTTCATACATTTACAAGTACCCAACTTTTAGTTTAAATTACAGCCCCAGAACTCTAGTGTTAAAAGATTTTAATAATTTATATGTTGGGGATTGCATACGGTTGTTCGTCTGCTATTAGCATTGTCACGTGACTTTACCAGCAGTGAACCATACCAGGATAAAATGGTGAAAGATGTAAATAAAAGCACCAGTGACCTAAATCGGTGATAACTCGAGACATTTTCAGATATTCTAAAAATATATTTTTTACGCCGAGCATTGGTATGCGCCGAGCATTGGTCCAACCACTCTAGTATAATTCATCAATTTCAATATTTCCCCCAAAAAATATTTCTTGACAGTGCAGAGTCCTAGTTAATATGAACTTAATAAGGTTTATGTAGATTTTGTTTTTTTCCACTGATTTATAAGTTAACATGTGTACAGTAAAGAAAAAATATTGTCATCAAATAATATCAAACTGCATCCGCTGCAAGTTAAAATACTTTGCTTAAGTTACATTTAATTCGAGCATCATGATCATCAGTTGGCAAGTGTCATCACAATGAAATTTTAACTTCTTTTATTTACAACCGTTCTTACAGAAATTCATTTATAGAATAATCATCAGATATTTCACCACTACGATTGTTTATAGAAGTTCATTTACCTATCATTAGCCATTGACGCATTTGACAAGAAAAATTGTAAAAATCAAAATGTTTGACTGAAGTTTTTGGCGACAAGTTTTTGTAAAGCAAAACATATATCAACATGATCACTAGACTTACTGACAAATTTATGCGCTAAGTATGTTCCTAATTGGTCTTAATTGAAATGAATCACCTCTAATCTATTAATATTGTTGTTTATTTGATCGGTCAAATTATCAACACTCCGGAGATGTCACCCGTTGACTTTCAACATCCGCTCTATTGTATTGCTGCGTTTCATTGGTTTTCCAATTATACCGACCAATGAAAATAGGTTTAACAGAACTGTTTTGATATTGGCGGAGCGTTGAAGATTTTGACAATTGGAAAATTATTGCAGTGTTTATACTAAAAAGGGTGACATTGTTTTCGCTTTTCTAAGCAAATTGGAGACAGAGCACATAGAAACGTGAAGAGCTTATTATCCCCCGCCGAAAAGGCGGCGGGGGATATAGAAATAGTCTCCGTCCGTCCGACCTTCCGTCTGTCCGTCCGTCCTTCCGTCCGACATTTTTGTCCGGAGCATATCTCTAAAAGTATTTGAGTTATCAACTTGAAACTTCATAGGTGGATAGACCTCATAGAGGAGGAGTGCAGTGCACAAGAATGATAACTCTACCCTGCATAATTTTTTTGAGTTATTGCCCTTTGTTATTTTTCAAAATAGATTTTTGTCCAGAGCATAACTCCAAAAGCCTATGAGATATCAACATGAAACTTCATAGGTACATATATCTCACTCAGGAGGTGTGCAGTGCACAAGAATGTTAACTCTACCTTTCATAATTTTTGAGTTATTGCCCTTTGTTATTTTTCTTACTTAATTTTTAAATTCAATTTTTTTCTCAAAAAGTATTTGAGGTATCAACTTGAAACTTCATAGGTGGATAGATTTTACTGAGGAGGGATGCAGCACACAAGAATGATAACCTACCCTGCATTATTTTTCAGTTATTGCCCTTTGTTATTTTCAGCCATCAGTATTCACATAGGTTTCAAATCTGTTATCATTATAGCCATCAGTTTTCATTACCAAAAGACCTCTTAAAATGGAATTATTCTGCTCTACTACATATACATTCTTCCAATGAGCAAACACATTCGGCGGGGGATGGCCATGTTGACATGGCTCTTGTTTCTAATAGTTCTACTGCTAAAAAAATTACAGGACAGTTGGTCCGGAGAACATTCTAAATTTGTTGGACCTTTAAAAAAATTACCAGACATGAATGACGGTCCGACAATGTTTCGCTTGGACTGTGTACAGGTCACCACCCTTGAAGGTCAAATTTCAAACATTTTGTGCCTGCACTATAAATTCTATAAAATTTAAATATCAGCTTAGAGAAGTTTATATCAGCATCAAGGAAAAAATAGTTTCCGTCAAATAATATAGTACCTGTAACAGTTGCCATGGAAACACAATGATGTCATGTTCCAAAATGGGCTTTTATGGTCAATTTTGAAGTCATGTGTACAAAAAATGGCTGAAACTATTGGAATAAAATCAGTGGAATCTAATGCGAATATGGTCAACTTTGTACATGCCAATTTTCAAGACTCTACTTGAAATATTGCAAATTGTCATTTTCTGTCTTAAGCGATAGCTCTAGTTCAAATTTGTTTTCATCCTTAGAGTGCCCATGTAGGATTACTGGATGCAGATGTGTATGGTCCTTCCTTACCAACCATGATGAACCTCAAAGGAGAGCCACATGTCAATGAAAGTAAGTTCTAAACACTTTTTTTATACAATATTTATAATTATACATTTTAATGATGAACCAGTTAATGAAACCATATGAATATTATGACCAATTAATATAAGGTGTATTACAAAATGACATTTAAGTGCTTCAAATGCTTCAATAAATATTAACTTTGGAATACAAGTGTGACCTTAACCTCTGAGCTGAAGATCGGATTCTTGCATGTGACATGTAGTCATCATGTACAAGTCACTTTTGCCAAGATATTCTAGAATCCATTTAAGAATGATGAACATCATCACACTATCATATCATGACTTTGGAATTCATGCGTGACTGAATGTTTTGCTTCACTGCACAAAATGGCTCCCAGAGCTAAAAATAGAAAAAATCCTGTCCAACTTTCACAGGTCAAAATGCTAGCAGGATTTTTACCAAAGTTCACAGGAGTTCAGTACCATCCCTAGTTGTGCATATCACAGCATGTTCCACTTTGCTGCACAAAATCAGAGCTGTAAATAGAAAAATTTTGCCCAGCTTTCACAGGTCAGGTGGGATTTCAATGAAACTTCACATGAGTGATCATTACCATCCCTAGTTGTGCATATCATCGTCATGTTCAGCTTCGGTTCACAAAATGGCTGCCAGAGCTAAAAATAAAAAAATCCTGTCCGGCTTAATATATAATCACAGGTCAAACTGCTAGCGGGATTTCCACCAGAATTCATAGGAGTGATCAGAACCATACATAGTTTTGGGAGACATGTTTTTGTGACAAAAACCCTTCTAGTTATTATTTATATTGTTGTAAACAGGATGTTAGTTTGCCTACCTGTACATATTGCACTTTTCCTCTGTCGTTAGCAACTGTCCCCAAGTGACAAGGTGAGCTTTTGTGATCACAAATTGTCTGTCGGGCGACCGTCCATCTTCCGTCTGTTGTCCGTCCTTAAGCTTTTATCCTCATGAACCACTAAGCCAGTTTCATCCAAACTTTACAGGAATGTTCCTTTACAGGAATGTGTGTGCTTGCATGTGTTCGTGCGTGCGTGTGTGTGTGAACTTAAAAGAACTTCTTGTGAAAATCAAATTGTCCAATTTCAACCAAACTCTGCAGGATTGTTCCTTGTTTATTCTCAAGACTTTGGAATTATAAGAATAAATTTAAAAATCTTTTTTTTAAGACCCACAAGGCCTAGAGCATAGATTTTTTGCAGAAGCCTTTGTCTGGTAGACCTCTACCAAGATTGTTCAAATTATAGCCATGGGGTAAAAATTGCCCTCGCTCAGGGGGTCATTGATTTTCGCTATTCACATATAGTAAAATCTTAAAAAATCTTCTTGTGCCTAGAGCTTTGATAATTGGTATATAATAGGTTATAGGTTTTCCTTATATGTATAAAGTAAAAACTTAAAAAATTTTCATCTCTGAATTGAAATAGGCTAGAGGTTAGATATTTTGCATGAAACATTGTGTAGTGAACCTCTACCAAGATTGTTCAAATTATAGCCCTGGGGTTAAAATTGGCCCCGCCCCGGGGGTCATTGATTTTCATAATGCACATAATAGTAAAATAAATGTTTTCTGAATAGGAGAAAGCTAAAACCTTAGATATTCGACATGAAACATTGTCTGGTGGACCTGTATGAAGATTGTTTGAATTTAACCCTTGGGTCAAAATTTTTCCTTGCCCAAGGGGACAGTGACCTACTTTCTTGTCTTTTGATGTACAACCAAAAAATTTGAACCATGTGCAAAGTTTTAGATGTAAAATTGAACTTTGATATAAAACATAGAAACAAAAAAATACTTCTGTCCCTTCACTACTATTTAGTGTTATATTAATGGGGCGGCATAGCATTTTTATATGCACGAAAGAATTTCGGGCATATTATATTGTACCCCCTGGCGTCCGTCCGTTAGCAATGTGGTTTCCGGAGCATAACTAAAGTTTCATTTGGCCCACAGTGTTCAAATTTCATAGGATGATTGTCCATATTGGGTAGAAGACTCTTATTGATTTTGGGGTCACAAGGTCAAAGGTCAAGGTCACTATTACCTTAAAACTGAAAACAGTTTCTGGAGCATAACTTAAGTTCCATTTGGCCCACACTATTCAAACTTCATAGGAGGATTGCTATTTGAAGGAGGTAATACTTTATTTGCTTCATCCTTACTAAAAAAAAAACACTTTGGGGCATATAATGCTCCACCTAGTGGTGCTCTTGTTCTCATATGCAATCTTGTTGATTTATTAAATTTCTGTATTTCAAAAAGCAAACAAATGAACCATCTCAAATTGCTTTTATAATTTGTTGTTTGTTCTTTTCAGAAAATCAGATGATTCCTTTAGTTAATTTTGGAATAAAATGGTAAGTTTCATTCTTAACTGTACTTGCTAAAACCATGATAAATATTTTTCATTTGATGACTGTGCACATAATCCTTTTGGATTTGAGTCATTTAACAATTGCAAACCCTGATGGAAATTCCAAATTTAGAATATTTGGTTTTCTTCTGACTTTTCTGATAATTATAGAGCTGTCCTACTCACTCCTGCATTGGCATCTACGTCCCCTTCCAGATTTCTCAGATTAAAGTTTTGGTGCAGTAAAGATCAAGGTCACACTTGGAGATCAGTGCAAAACCCGTGTTCGTAGCATTAACTTTTATCAATGAGCAGTTGAGTTGTCTCGTGTAAAATGAAGGTCAAGGTCACAAGAGGTCAAAGGTCAAATAAAAATATTAAACTTTGCTTGTTAGCGCTGTATCTTGCTTATGCTTTGAAGTATTATGCTTAGTGGTCAGAGGTTTTTTAAATTGTTGAGCTCTATTAATAACTTGAGTTAGTTGTGACCTATTGACAGGAAATTTTGTGTGTGGGTAGCTTATATTAGTTCGCAACTTGGGATTTATACCCAGATGTCTGTGATCAATTTCAATGTTGCTAATTATAGAAGTTCAGTCTCCACATATTATTATGTGATAGTCGAACTCCGTTCGCTTGTACTCGGAGGGCCAGTGCAAATTTGTTCGAGAGATCGGTAGTTCGAGCCAACCAAGGTTGAACTATTATCACGTAGAACATGATAGTCATAAATGATTTCCAGCTTACATCTGTGAATTATAAATACATCAATGTAATTGTTTGTTAGTACATGCATATTGTGATTGTGATTCTTATATCACGATACTGACTTTCAGACTTAGTACATAAAATTTGGCCATTTGTTTACAGCATAATTACCAATATAATATAAAATTATTACAATAACAAAAAAATAAACTCTTTAACTTGTTGTTATAACAAGGTTTCTGATTTTGATCTTTCAACAATTTACTTTTCTGATTACCTAAGGATTAAAGGTATTGTTAATTATACCATAACAGCAAATTGATATCTACTAGTCTAACACTAAAGTCCTCTACTGTAAATATGGCAGTTTAAAAAAATCAGTCTTACAATACTTCACTAAAGATTTTTCTTGTGAAAAAAATAGTAACAAGTGATTTACAATTAGCTCAACAACTGTGAAAATAACAGTTTATCAGTTACACTCTCGTTTTTCTCGAAAGATTTGTGCTCAACCACAGAGTATTTTATTTTGAGTTTGCAAATTTTGCAAAACACTCCACGTCCGGTCTTCCACATTATACAACACTGTCTGTTGGTTCCCCAAAAACTACAATGTTCCCAAAACTCGTGAATTATATGACCAGGGAGGATTAACTATAGTTTCTCCTTCTAAATATTTTGCAGTCTACATGTTTTCTGTTTGTTTGTTTTGTTTTTTTACGGGAAAATGATGTCAACAGAAATGAAAGTATAAATACGTGACGAATATCACATGGGAATGTTATCATCATCACTATTTTAATCCGACATCAAGTGCGACTAAATAAAATTAAAAATTCATGTTTGTTGAAAACGCATAGATCTCTAATTATTTTTTTTATTATAAACAAGTTCAAACAACACCAGCCCATTTATATGGAATTGATAAAACTTTGTTAGTTACCGTTAAATGATTGCGGACATGGGGAAACGAGATGACAACGATGATATGATAATAGTCGCGCTTGTTCATTGTTTTCATCCGAGCTATTTTTCTTTCTTCAGTCTTTCAAAAAATACGTTTGTCAGATATTGTTACTGTATTGCGATACTTCCCGCTGTATCGATACATCGGGAGGTTAAATATGTATTGCATCGCAATATATTGGAATTTGTAATTTCATTACGATGCATACATCGAGGACAAGGCAGATCGCGATGCATCGATGCATCGCTGAATCGTTACACCTCTATTATACCAGTGTTTTCAAATGAGTATTAATAGTGCACTGTGTTAATCTATATTCATGCATATTGTAATTTGGTGTAAGTTCGATTGGACAATCATTTACCTAACTTGTTCAAAATATATGTATCTGTTTATTATGAGATAAATTTAGATAAATTTAATTTTAAACAATGGATTAATTAAATATTTAAAAAAATAAAATAAATAAAACAAAATTTAACAGCAGCATGTATTTTTAGCAATTTACTAAAAAGTATCATTCTATAGATAACACTGTTACAAATTCATGTTACATGCAGCACGGCTGTAATTAAAGCCGTCCAGGTAAATGTCATCTATGTATTGACTTATAACAAAAGTTATTTTCTTTTTTATCCTTACTTAAGACGGCAAATAAGCAATATTATCATAACAAATAAATCGGATGCAACACCTCTTAAGTTTGTATCAATTAACCTTAATTGCCTTTATTAAGATCACGAGGTGTTAAAAACATGTGTCGCTGGCTGACACTTATTTAGAACATTTCGACCCGTAGCTTTTGTTGTCTTTTTTTGTTCGACCGAAAAGGTGTGATTTTCACTATATTTCTGCTGAAGGAACCAGAGATCAGGTTCGAGAGTTCGAGCCATCGGTGTTCGAGCGATCTGAGGTAGAACAATATATATTATGTAGGAATTTTGCCGGGACCGGGCGATGAGTTCGAGTGAAGGGAGGTATTTGAGCGATCCAAGTCCGAGCGAACGCAGTTTAACTGTAATAACTTGAGTTTGCTTAAACATATTGACACCAAATGTAGTATATGGGTAGCTTATAACAAAACGCAATTTGGGATAGCTACCAAGGTGTCTGTGAACAAGGTCAAGGTCACTGTTGCAAAAAGAAATTCAGTTTTCACGTAATATCTTCAGTTTGCTTTGAAACTTGCTGTGTGGCAGCTTTAGATTGCCACTTAGATATCTGGGAGCAAGGTCAAGGTTATTTGCTTACAATAGAATTTTCAGCTTCTACTCAATAACTTCAGTGTACTTTGACCTATTGCTTGCTGTCACATCAAAACTTGGTCGTTGGAAAATCTGGTTTTCGTCGCATTGAGGCGCTTCATGTTGTTTATACATTTTATTTTGTTTATACAGTTTATTTTTTATAAGAATTGTATTGAACTGACAAGAATCCTTATGTCCATGCATATAAATGTTATCATCAATCATCAATGTTATATGCAAATATAATATCCAACAACAAATACCCAGTTGTCTAAAAAAAGCAAAATAAGGTTTTAAAACCTTATTGAAACAAAAAGGAGCAAAGCTCAGTGGGCCAAAACTTAAACTGACAAAAGAATATTGCTGATTCTTCAATGAAACTTTAGATATTATTCTCTTCATGAATATGCTGATTTTACTTTTTAGAAAGAGAGAAGAATTGATTTGAAGCAAAATAATCATTCTGTTGTACTATTTCAAGCACAAAAGGAAACGTTTCTTCTTTGAACTTTTCGAAGTGAACAAATTGAATTAATTAACGTAAATTTATTACGGAATGAAATTTTTTATTTGGTTTAGGAGCAAGAAAAATGTTCCAAAAGACTTCATCTTTGTCATGGATCAAGGGTATAATTAATAGCACCCTGATAACATGGTATGCACTTTCTTGCATTGAAAATTATGTTGACAGCCCAACTGTCCATAACTTTTATTCTGCGTCATGTTAACTGGTCTTCAGCAGTTATACCTTCCTCTGCCCCTTGTACCCCTAATGGGACCAAAAGAAGAATTGGAATTTTTATTCATGGAAGATTTATCCAACTATAACAATTTAATTTTTCCAGAGCTACACAGCTCTTTCAAATCACAAACAGTAGAACCATCATCATGAGGAGAATGGTCATTATCTGACAAATTCGCAGTCATTTGATGTCTGCCAAATTATGGAAAAACATTGTTTACCTTCAAGAGGTAATATTTTCAGCCCACATATCCTGAAAATTTGTCAGAAAGGTTGTTTTGATGATTTCTAGCTCATCCATGGTCAAAATCTAGTTCACATAGACCAAAAATAAAAAAGCACATAAAAAGGCATATATGGAAAAACCTTATTAACATTTGCAATGTTTCAGGTGCAGATATGAGAATGTTCTGATACCAGTTTAAGTTTATGACATTATATCTGCCTTTCTTTCATTGCTAACAATATTAATTAGAGCCTCAATAGTCAGGTGAGTGATGTTAGGGCCATCATGGCCCTCTTGTTTTCAGCTTACCAGCAATTTTGTTAGGCAAACCTGAACAGGTTGTAGACCAAAACCATTTCGACTAAGGAAATATTTAAATGCTGGACACAGTGTCATCACAATAGGTCATCTTGACCTCACATATTAGTAATAATTTAGATAGTTTCTTTGACAAAAAATCTTGCACTGCACAAATAAATTACTGAATATACATACAGTAAACTCCACTTATAACAAACTCATTAGGACATTCAAAATCTGTTCCTTACATCCCGAAGTCCTTGTAAGCATATAGCAAATTAGTTCCTTGTATCGGGAGTTTTTATAGCAAACTGATTTACATATAATAAACTGATTGTTTACCATCGTCCTCCATTTTGAAGATCATTTGATTGAGAAAAATAACTCATTTGGGTTCGTCATTGTCTTTCTTACATTGAGTCAATAAAGAAAATAAAAGAAATAGTTGCAATTTTTTTTTTTTATAATGTTATTTTTATATATGAATATATTTACATTTTGTATATCTATAACATATTTATACGATATATACAATATTGTTTTTTATTGACAATATATCTATAACTTATTTATATGATATACACATGTATATACAATAGTGTTCTTGCATATCAGACAGGATTATCTACCATTTACACTGGTGCTAGAAAACTATCTTACACCCCTCATGTAAGACAAGTCGGGTGCTTAAAATGATGTCATTGCCGTGCGCCTTTTATAAATAAATTGCGTTCTTAGGATGACGTCATTTACCGTTATGAATGAAGTTGTAGTTCATATGCTACTATAAGAAAAAAGTGCATAATGAGAATATCAGTTTTCAGCTCGACTATTCACAGAATAATCGAGCTAATGCAGTCACCCATTTGTCGGCGTCAGTGTCCCTGTGGTTAAGTTTTTGTGTGTAAGCTGGTATCTCCATAACTACCGAAGGGAATGGATTGAAACTTCACACACTTGTTGTAAGATGATTGGCACAAGTCCCGTAACTCTGATTTTTGCTTTTTTACATAATTATGCCCCTTTTTCGACTTAGAAATTCTTGGTTAAGTTTTTGCGTGTAAGCTGGTATCTCCATAACTACTGAAGGGAATGGATTGAAACTTCACACACTTGTTCTCTGTGATTATCTAAGATGATTGGCACAAGTCCCATAACTCTGATTTGCTTTTTTACATAATTATGCCCCTTTTTCAACTTAGAAATTCTTGGTTAAGTTTTTGCGTGTAAGCTGGTATCTCCATAACTACTGAAGGGAATGGATTGAAACTTCACACTCTTGTTGTCTGTGATTATCTTAGATGATTGGCAAAAGTCCCATAACTCTAATTTGCTTTTTTACATAATTATGCCCCTTTTTCGACTTAGAAATTCTTGGTTAAGTTTTTGCGTGTAAGCTGGTATCTCCATAACTACTGAAGGGAATGGATTGAAACTTCACACACTTGTTTTCTGTGATTATCTAAGATGAATGGCATAAGTCCCATAACTCTGATTTGCTTTTTTGCATAATTATGCCCCTTTTTTGACTTAGAAATTCTTGGTTAAGTTTTTGCGTGTAAGCTGGTATCTCCATAACTACTGAAGGGAATGGATTGAAACTTCTCACTTTTGTTTTCTGTGATTATCTTAGATGATTGGCACAAGTTCCATAACTCTGATTTACTTTTTTGCATAATTATGCCCCTTTTTCGACTTAGAAATTCTAGGTAAATTTTTGCTTGTAAGCTGGTATCTCCATAACTACTGAAGGGTTTGTACCTTTTCGGACAATTTTATGTATTCATATAGGTAAGCATTATTATACTCAATGAAACACCCTTGTGACAACTTTTCGAATAGTCGATCGTTACTGTCGTCCGACAGTTCTTGTTGTAATTTCTGTCCTGAAAATAATTGATATTTATTATGCAAGAAAAAGAATCAAACACCTGCTATCGGTACAGACTGGAATATATAGCTCTCGGGTAACTGTTTGGCGGAAACGAGGCAGAACCTCGTTACCGCCGTAAACAGTTAACCTCGGGCTAGATATTCCGGTCTGTACCGGCAGCCTGTGTTTGTCTTATATTATTTATCGACAATGCAGTATCATGTAGAAAAACTTTTTGGATTTTAATCAAGAAATAGCATGCGTAATTATTGTAGAAAACCAATTGTAAATGATCATAACTCGAGCAAAACTATTGAAGAAAAGAAATAATGGAATAAATTGAATAATCGTTTTATCTTGGTGACAAGAACTCGTGCTAAAAATATCCTAAATAGAAAGCTATTGCATACTGCTGTACAAATTTATTTTCATAGCTGTACTGAAGTACATCCAACAATAAACTGTACATTCGGCTGAGTTTTAATTCGTGCCAATGAAAACGAAAGAAAATGCGGGATCTATTTACGGGTAGCCGATATTTTGGACTTCATTATTTTTAAGTAATTTTCTGTACTTTTAACTTGATTGGGACTAAAAAAATGAGTACCTTCTAAGCCATACTTCCTTATAACAATGTTCGCAATAACCATATTTTTTTATATTAAATAAGGAAGGGCAAAATTTGATCCTTATAACCAGAAGTTTGCTATAATAGTGTCTGCTATAGATGAAGTTTACTGTACTTTGCAGCATGTCAATGGGATTTTTGGTTGATGAGAAGTCCCCAATAGTTTGGCGTGGTCCTATGGTAATGGGGGCAGTACAAAGATTACTTAGGCATGTATGTACTTTTTGTGTCACCTTAAGAGTTGTGGCGACATATAGGGATCACTTCTCCGTCATCTGTCCGTCCATACAAACCCAGAGGTACTTATTATACCCCCGCACAACAAAGTTGTAAGGGGGGTATACTGGAATCAGCTTGTCCGTCCAGCGTCAAGACGTCTCCTTGTGCGTCCGTTGTTTTTTCCTTGTCCGCCCAATAACTTGAGATTCCTTTGGCCAACAGTCTTCATATTTGGCATGGAGGTTAGTCATGATTAGTAGATGATCCCTATTGATTTTGGGGTCACTGGGTCAAAGGTCAAGGTCACAGGGGCCTTGACTTTAAAAAGCTTGTCCACCCAATAACTTGAGATTCCTTTTGCCCACAGTTTTCATATTTGGCATGAAGGTTAGTCATGATAAGTAGATGACCCCTATTGATTTTGAGGTCACTGGGTCAAAGGTCAAGGTCACAGGGACCTTGACTTAAAAAACCTTGTCCGCCCAATTACTTGAGATTCCTTTGACCCACCGTCTTCATATTTGGCATGGAGGTTAGTCATGATTAGTAGATGACCCGTACTGATTTTGAGGTCACTGGGTCAAAGTTCAAGGTCACAGGGGCCTTGACTTAAAAAAGCTTGTCTGCCCAATAACTTAAGATTCCTTTGACCCACATTCTTCATATTTGGCATGGAGGTTAGCCATGATTAGTAAATGACCCCGATTGATTTTGAGGTCACTGGGTCAAAGGTCAAGGTCACAGGGGCCTTGACTATAAAAAACTTGATTTTAAAATTTTCACATTTGAAGCATGGAGAATACATATCTTAGCAATGCACTGGCTTAGTAACCTCAGATTTGGCAGGGTGGTTGTCCTTAAGTTCTAAATGGCCACTGTTGATTCTGACAAAGTGGTATGTGGGGGTATTCACGCCATGACAATGGCATTTCTAGTTTGACTTGGAGAACAATGGGTAACTGAGTAAATTCTCTTTGATCCTATTCATTCCGTTTTTACTTGTGTGACTTTCTTTAAGCTTTGTGTGACTAAAAATAAGTTTGTCTGGATAACTCCTCATACCACTAATGCAATTTCAGTGATCATACCACTTATGCAATTTCAATGAAACTTTACAGGATTGATATGTAGCTAAGTACTTGCGCATATTAAATGGGCTTTCTGGTTGAAAGAATTTAATTCCATGCAGATTTAAAAAATGAAATAAAAAAATCTTCTTTGAGTTAGAGCATGAAACAGCTTCTAGTGAGTGTCTACCAAATTTGTTCAAATAAAAGCCCTGGTGTCAAAATTGGCACTGCCCGTGTGGTCATTGATTTTCCTTATGTAGATATAGTAAAATCTTAAAGAACTCTTCCCCTCTGAAATTGAAAGGCGTAGAGCTTAGATATTTTGTGTGTAACATCATCTAATGAAACTCTTTTAGTTTATGGCATTATATATGCCTTTCGTTCATTGCTTACAATATCAATTCAGAGCCTCAATAGTCAGGTGAGCAATATAAGGGCTATCATGGCCCTCTTGTTTACTTTTTAGCTCGACTATACAAATTATATGGAGAGCTGTCCTACGCGTCCCGGCGTAGGCGTCCACGTCCAGATTAAAGTTTTGGTGTAGTATAATATTTTTTCACTATAACTTTCATTTCATAAGGTATAAACTTCAAATATATGTTCCTTATCATCAACAACATCTTATGTGACAAGGTTCATGACTCTAGCACAAATATTTTCAGATTTATCTCCCCTTGAACTTTGAATCTTCCTTAAAAAATATTTATTTTTACTGTAACTTCTTTATTTCTTAAGCAATCAATACATGTTTCTTATTATCAACCACATCTTATGTGACAAGGTTCATAACTCTAGCACCAATGTTTTCAGATTTATCTCCCCTTGAACTAAGAATTTTCCTTAAAAGATATTATTTTTTACTGTTACATCTTTATTAGTCCCATACTGGTTTAACCCGAGGGGAAATTTAAGTTTACCCTCCGTCCGTCTGTCAGTCCATCCTTCCAAAAGACTGGATCCCATGATAACATAAAAAGTACTGAAAATATTTTTATAAAACTGGATATATGGATTGATAAATCCGCGGAATTATCCTCTAAAAACCAAATTACTTTATTGAATTACATGAAAACTCGAATAGAGGTAAACCAAAATGTTTGCAATTACATTTCCATATTGCTGAATATATATCAAAAATTTCCTACGAATACACCGTGTCCATAGCTGACTTAAAGTACACTGTATTTTTAAGTATAGATGATATAGTATAAATGTCACTGCGGGAAGAAATAAAAGCAAATTTGGTGCTCATGCATGTAATGTTTGTGTGACGTCGTGACGTCATTTCCTGTAAAATTAAAGACGATGTGTTGAACAGTTGTTTCGCAGCAGCATCAACCTCGATGTCTACCAAACGGCGAATTACATCAGCAGATGACATTGTATTACGCACTGTCGTCAAGTTGTGTGTGGGACTGAAACTCTCACGGAGCAAAACTCTTAAAAAGATAGATAATTCAGAAACATTGCCTACTGGTGGAAAGACATTTGTGTATAAATGGCATGAGGGGTTTAGAGAAGGGAGAATATCTGTGTATGATGACGAAAGAACTGGTCGGCAAACGTCTACAGTGAAGGAACTGCTGGACGTTGACAGGTGCGTTATGGTGAGGGGCATAGCTAAACAACTATCTCTCTCTTATTATGCCGTACAATGCATTCTTACAGAAGAGCTCAACATGTCTAAAGTTGTGGCTCGCTGGGTACCCCGCATTCTGACAGAAGTCGACAGACAAAAGCACATGCAGTGTTCTCCACAATTTCTCAAGCGTTACGAGGCACATGGTGAAGATTTTTTAGATAGGATTGGTCCACGGACGAGACTCGGCTGTACTATTACGATCCCGAATCCAAAGACTAGTCTTCTATTTGGAAGTCACCTGACACACCTCTACCCAGGCTCAAGTTCAGAGATTAGTGCCAAATGTATATATACTTCATTGATAAGCATGGGCTCCTGCTAGAACACTAGGTGCAAGAGGGATCTCAACCATAAATGCCGAATATTATTCAAAGGTAAAAATAAAGAAAATATAACTGTTACTATTTTGTTACTAAAATTTTTTCTATAAATACGTGTAGAGCTAGCTGATTCTAGTATTTAATAAATATTGTTTATTTAATTTTAGAAAATGCATTTTAAAATATTGCCATAATGCAGTCATTGTGCTTTATCAACTTTCAGGTGTTATGTTGGGACTTGGAACAAGCCTTGTGCAGGAAGCGACCTCAGCTAGACCTGTACGATGTTATCCTACACCATGATAATGCCCCGGCACACTTGGCTCACGACACAGAACTGGAGATTAGCCTGCTCGGGTTCAGTCTACTGCCACACCCACTGCCCGGACTTGGCTCCATTAGACTACCGTCTGTTCCCCGAGGGGCCAACGATTTGAAATATCATTAGAGCTACACACCAAGGCGCACGAGATAGTTTCGTCGTTCAGTTCAGACTGGTTTTAAGTGACTTTTGACCAATGGATACACAGGCATAAGAAATGTGATGCCACCGGGGGTAATTACGTTGAAAAAGTGAACCTGATATTAGACTTTGACGTTAAGGTGACGTCAGCGTGTGACAATGTCCCATCGGTGTGCTTCAAGTGTAGGATAGTGTAGTGCTTTGATTTTGCATGTAAACTTTATTGTTCAATATATTTCAATGATTTATTTGGCTTTTTGTCAGGTATCTTGTGGTGTAATTTATTTGTTAGTTTTTCTTTTAATGTTTTAGAAATAATACAATTCCGCGAATTTATCAATCAGCCCTCGTATATAGTAAAAACTTAAAAAATCTTAAAAAACCAAAAAATTTTAAAAACCCAAATAGCTAGAGCTTAGATATTTAGAGAGTTTCTATATTCAGGTGAGCGATTTCAGGGCCATCATGGCCCTCTAGTTCTTGGTGTTTTGTCTTCATACTTGGCCTCTACAGGCCTTGAGACAAGACAATCAAGTAGACCAGACTACCTTATCTTATTGATGTAGGACAAATAATTCAAAAACATTTGAAAAAAATCTATAAAGTTCTGCATTCTCCCTATGTGCAAAATTATTAACTAAAAGGCATGTTTTCTGACAAGCACGTGTTGTTGGTATTCGGCACTTATGACAAACTCTAGTTTTTTATTACTTTAAATTTTAATTACTTAAAACAAATTTGCATTTGGGCGTATATTGTCACACGGTGCTCTTGCAAGTGTTTTGTTAGAAATTTGATAACCATACATACATAACTTCTTGAAACAATACCTTAACAATTTTATATTCACAAATGAATGTGTTTTAGCAATAAGTCAAAAGCTATCATACTTCACTAGCATTGATGTAAATTTAATTAATGTGGAGATAGTTTTTACAGTTTTTGAAAAAGATTGTGTTGAAATATGATATTGTATTTTCCCCAATTCAGGTTGCTTGGGGCCCATTAGACTACCTGTTTGTTGATATGCCTCCAGGGACTGGAGACACCCAATTATCTTTGTCACAGAATATACCCATTGATGGTTGGTATTTTATCTAAACATGTTGTAAAAACTTAAATAGTAGTAAAATATGAAAAGAATAGTGACATTAGTTTGAAGGTCTAAAATGTATTAAGTCTGACCGGAACTACCAGTGATCTGAAACTACCTGACTAACTGTATCAGTTACCTGAAAAATAAGTGTAATGTGTTTAAAGGTCAACAAATGTAAAAGATTAATAGAAAAATGTTTGTAAGTTTCTGTTAAGAGACACATATTTTAAACATTTTAGTGAACCTGAGCACAAGTGCATTGTTCGAAATCTGTCATTATCCATAATTCTTTAAATAACATCTTTTTTTCTAAACCAATTGGTGAATTTTGACTAAGCTTCATAGGATTGAGTGGCCCTCTACAAGAGTTATATAAATGGTTTCAGTCTGATGCAAAAGTAGGTCACAGAAGCTAAATACAGACTTCAGAAATGAAATCTTTAAAAATCTTCCTAGAAACTACATTGCTTGGATATTTGGCATATGTCATCACTTTATGGTCCAAAAATAAAATTATGTTTGTTTCCCCTTCCCGACCCATTGAATTTAGGGTTGGGTAGGTAGGTAAGAAATTTATTATTTTTTTATATGTGCATAATAATAAATAATCTGCATATATGTATAATGGACTATTAAAATTAATTTATTAAGTGCAATAGTAAATGTAGTCATGCATTACCATATTCACAACTGACATATGCAACAATTTATTAACTTGCTAGCTGTCTAAAATATCAGATTAGATTGTACCTTGTACCCTGAAAGAAAAAAAATACTACCTGAAAAAATCTTTTTGGTAGGGTCAAATTTGTTGGGTAGGTAGGGAAGGGGACACAAATTAAATTTTATTTTAGGCCCCATATAAGATATATTAATAATGCCTCTAGCGTAAAATTGATTGTGCACTAGGGGTTAAGTGACATGTAAATACATGTACTTTTATAGGAAAATATATTTAAGTTTTCTTTGTGAAACTGCAATGTCCAGAGGTTAGATATTTAGCATAAAGAATCACGGTGTGATGTCAACATTGGCCATCTCTTGGCTAAATTAGCTTTTTAGACCTATATAATATTATGAAAATACATTTAAGTCTTCTTTTGTGATACTGCTCCAAGGATTAGAACTTTGGCATTTAGCATAACCTATTGGAATCATACAATAGTTACACCAGAATTATGTATTTCCCCTGCTTTTAAAAATAGCCCCACCCTAGCCCACCAATTTTACATTAACTTGTATAGTAAAATATCTTTAAAGGATTTCTCCTTGGAAACTAAATGCACAAAGCTAAGATATTTGACAAGTTGCATCATCTTGTGGTCCTCTACAAAATGTTTATAAATCTTGCCATTATAGTCAAATTTGGTCTCACCACTGAAAGCTCATTTAAATATTGTTTTTGAAAATTACAGACATAGAGTTTTGATATTTTGCATATAGTATTGGTAATTCGTCCATAACAAACTTTATCTATATGCTTTAAAGGTAAAAAAATTGCCACATAGTTATAGTTTACCTAAATAAACATGTCTTCAGATATTAGTTATAAGCCTCCTATCAGGTTATCTAGAGGTGACTAGGTTTGCCCTCCACGTGTCCGTCCTTCAATGCCCGTCTGTCTGTCAGTCCACTAAACTGGATCCCGGGGTAATGCTAAAAGTGGGGCGTCCTGTGGCCGAGTGGTTAAGGTAATTGACTTTAAACCACTTGCCCCCTCACCGCTGTGGGTTCGAATCCCGACAGGGACATTGGATTCTTTCATGTGAGGAAGCTATCCAGCTAGCTTCAAGTTCAGTTTTGTCAGAGTTATTGCCATTTTCAATTTGTGTAGCATGTAACCTCACTTCAACTCAACTCTCCCCGTAACCTCAACCTAACTCAACTCTCCCCGTAACCTCAACCTAACCTCAACCTAACTCAATTCTCCCCGTAACCTCAACTTAACTCAACTCTCCCTGTAATCTCAACTTCACTCAACTCTTCCCGTAAAAATATTTTGACCTAGCTGGAATCTTGAAACTTTCAGGAATGTTGTTCAGCATGTGTAAGTTATTCACCTGGGGATTTGCCTGTAGATTCATTTAGTTTTAGAGTTATTGCCCTTGACTTAGTTTTTGCAATTTTCAACTTGTGTCTTGTGTAACTCAAACAGATATTTCACCTAGAGCCATGGAACATTACAATACTGTTGGTGTGCATCTGGAGTTTTGCTTGTTTATACTTTATGGTGACTAAATGCAAGAGCAGCAGCTGTTTACCACTTTTCAAGATTTTATTTATATTTGCACAACATGTATTTTCATTCAGCATGCCTTTGTTATTTCTGCAGAATTATTTAAATGGTGCGGTATTTGTGCCTGATTGAAAACATAACTATGAAGTTTGAGTTTGATGGATTTTAAAATTTAATTTGTTTTTTCGTAAAATCTATTTGTAAAAATCAAAATAATGATGTTTCTTTAGAGCACTGCCCTGTCTTCTCAGTACTAATTTCTGACTTCATTGCAACAAGTGATTTTCAAAGCAACCTTTTATTTTCCATAGCAATCAGTGACTGTAATATCATTTGTTTAAAATTATCGCTCTAAACAGGTGCTGTAATAGTCTCCACACCACAAGATATTGCCTTGTTGGATGCTAGAAGAGGAGCAGAGATGTTCTATAAAGTTAATGTTCCTGTCCTAGGCATGGTACAAAATATGAGCGTTTATGTCTGTCCTAAATGTGGTCATATGGAGCATGTGTTTGGGGAAGATGGAGCACACAAATTGGCTGAAGAAATGAAAATAGATTTACTTGGTAGGTACATGTAGACATAGATTTTAATCAAAACTTTTAAATTAAATTGTTTCAATTTGGCAGACATTGTGAGGAATATTTATACGATATTACAGTACACATACTTAAAATGGTGATAATAAGCTTGAATACAATGTCTTAAGCCATTCTTTAACCAAAAACAACCTTTTTTAATACATTATGTCTTCAGTCATTCTTACCATAGTTTAACATGCCTTAACCAATTCTTACTCCAATTCAATCTGCCTCCAGTCATATTTCCTCCTTCAGCCATTTTTCCTTCAATTCTATATGCCTTCTGTCATTCTTCTGCCATTACAATTTTGCTCCAGCCATTCTTCCTCTTGTAGCCATTCTTCCTCTTATACAGTATGCCATCAGCCATTCTTCCTCTTATACAATATGCCATCAGCAATTTTTCCTCTTATACAATATGCCATCAGCCATTCTTCCTCTTATACAGTATGCCATCAGCAATTCTTCCTCTTATACAATATGCCATCAGCAATTCTTCCTCTTATACAGTATGCCATCAGCCATTCTTCCTCTTATACAGTATGCCATCAGCAATTCTTCCTCTTATACAATATGCCATCAGCAATTCTTCCTCTTATACAGTATGCCATCAGCCATTCTTCCTCTTATACAGTATGCCATCAGCCATTCTTCCTCTTATACAGTATGCCATCAGCCATTCTTCCTCTTATACAGTATGCCATCAGCCATTCTTCCTCTTATACAGTATGCCATCAGCCATTCTTCCTCTTATACAGTACTGGACACGCAAAAGGCGCGTTATGCCGCGAGTGTAGTCTATGTCGCGACGGGACACTACGCGGTAAAACATCGCCGCGTGCAAGTTCGCCGAATTTCATGGCGGTTCACGAAAAATCGCCGCGATGTATCGCCGTAATTTACAGCGAATCTTCAGCAATAATTGTATTAGAAAGTACTACTTGGTCATTCCCGTGGTCTTTAATTTTGAAAACTTTAAAAAAATCTTGTAAATGTCATGTATATCTATAAATATTTAGCATTTGAACATGTACAGCGTATACATTTTGTATACTAAAACAAAGCAATCAGGTGCTAGTGAAAATTAGTTAACAATAAAACGAGATTGAAATTACAAAAGGTAATTGGTACTACATCAAAGAACGCACGACAACAAATTGTCCAATTGTTATTTTGATAATAATACAAATGTAATTAAAATCCATTGTTTACTTTCGCACATATTCTATTTTTAGAACAATGCAAAGCGACATTTAGCACCGATTCACAGGTGTAACTAATTATTAACGTCTAATACGCTAATTATGATTGTTGAAAATTGTAAAAGTTTTATCACTTAAATTGAGCTGAGACATTCTTTACCTTCAATTTCACGAGTAAAAAATGCCAGGTGCATGAGTAGGTGATGAGTAGCAAGATGCAAATCAGATTTTTTTATTTCCGCCAAATCAGCCAGGGCATTCGACCCAAAAAATTCCCTCGAAAACAAAAATAAAATCGGAGTTAAATCACACATTTAATATGTAAAGTAACGAGGGCATTCTGTGCATAAAATTAGGGTGTTACTATTTAAAGTATTTACATAAATAGCGACCAACCAGGGAAGGATATTTTCCTTACGTCACACAGTACTGCATGGTCACTAGTTTACCATGTGGTAATTTTAATGTGCTTTGGGGTACATGTTCGTTTGTTTATGACTGACGACACAGATTAAATACTAAGCCCATGCACGGATTTATATTACTATAAATCGACACAAGTATTGCACAATATCTTCAAGATCATAAAAATGTAAATAAAATATCACAATCAAAATGCACTTACGATTAATAATATGTCAATAATTGACACAATCAATATCCAACATTTTTTTTTACTTGAGCAATAATTAAACATGTGTAATCATTCCTTGACAAAAAGAAATGACAGTTTTTTTCTGATATATAAAAAAGAGGTGGAAGTCAATCGAGTGTCGGCATTTCTTTGATGATTCGGCATCAACTACAGGTGTGTAAACATCAAAGATTCACAGATTCTTTAGAAGAGCCGACCAGTCATTTGTCAGAGGTCATTTCGTGTGTAAATTTTGTATTTATTATTTAACAATGGAAACATTATATTCCTTTTATTTATGGATGCTTCTTTTTGCGCGAGTGTTTTTGTGTCTTTTAGCGCTATGGAATTTCAACGATCGGCGATAATTTTCGGTAACTAACAATTAAATATTTTAACATTTTTAAAACGGGTGCAAATATCCGCCATTCAGAAATTATAGGAGACAAATCTTGCGTGTGTTATTTTTTACCGACGTGTAATAAATTGAGTAATGATCACCCGAGAGAACGAAATGTCCCGGTGATCCACTATAACTCTTCCAGGTCGTACGGGAATATTTACGCAGGATTAGTTTATCACATCGGTAATTTTGACCATGCTTGAATTTATGTCTTATGTTTTCTTGATACAACTTCATGTAGATCTACTAATTAATTTTCGTACTTGTACATGTATATCTGGTTTCAAGTTCACAGAGTACAATTATAAATAGATCTACATTTATTATACAAATGAACATGTATTATTCCCCGCGAATCACGGCAAATGTTCACGGCAAAATCGCCGCGAGTTGAATTCGCGGCAATTGTCTCAAGTTGCCGCGAATTCGCTCGCGTTATAAAGCATGAGAGTTCGCCGCGAATACGTGAATTGTGCGGGTTTCGCGTGTCCAGTACTGTACAGTATGCCATCAGCCATTCTTCCTCTTATACAGTATGCCATCAGCAATTCTTCCTCTTATACAATATGCCATCAGCAATTCTTCCTCTTATACAATATGCCATCAGCAATTCTTCCTCTTATTAGCTCGACTTTTTTTGAAAAAAAAGTAGAGGTATTGTTATTGTCCTTGCAGCGTTGCCGTTGCCGTCTGCAAACTTGTACTGGATCATAACTTTTAACCTATTCCCTGATACAAGCGACTTTCGCTGACTTTTATCATTCCCTGATAGAAGAGAGAATTGACCGCTTTATTGATTACCGCATGTAAGCGAGAATCGTTGACTTGCATGATCTCAATGGAAGCGAGAATCGTCGACTTTACTTTTACCTGTCCAAAAATAGCTAATTTAATACGAAAATTAGTCTGTAAAGTGTGTTAGCGTAAAGATTGATCATTCATGAGGGCATTCCGTGCATAAAATTAGGGTGTTACTATTTAAAGTATTTACATAATTAGCGACCAACAAAGCAAGGGGTTTTCCTCATGTCACACACTTACTACATGCGCATGGCAATTAACTAATTATAGAACATATCAAATTGAGGTGTGGAAACTGGATTAAAAATACTGTATGTTCAACTAATGAATATTAATTAAGCATTAACATTGTCACTTGTTTTCCACGTGATAGATTTAATGTGTTTTAGGGTACATGTTTGTTTGTTTTGATTTATGACTGCCGACACAGATTAATAACTTAGCCCATGCAATAAAATATTTCCGGTAGCAGTGGGGATTCTGTCATAAAATTGACCGACAAATAAATATTTGTAAGTTGACATCCTTTCTTGTGCATTATTGTTTATAGACACAACATGGTGTCAAGTATTGCACAATATACAAGATCATATTCGCAACAAATGTCTTTGAAATACCGCGGTGTTGTATGAAAATTGATCATAATTTTTTCAGGTCATTTGTAAATATCTATGCATTATTAGTTTACTGACATTGCCAATTTGACCTCTTGATTTTATGTCTACAAAGTTATTTTATTATGCTCCCCTAAGGGTGAGCATATAGTCGCAGCTCTGTCCGTCTGTCCAGACAAACCCAGAGGTACTTGTGTGACTTGGAGAACAATGGGTAACAGTAAACTCTCTTTGATCTTATTCATTCCGTTTTTACTTGTGTGTCTTTTTTAAAGCCTTGTGTGACTAAAAATGGCTAAAAAGATCAAAGGAAAAGTCACATAAGTACCATTTCGTAAGTACATCCGTCTGTCTGTCTGTTCGTCCACTTTTCTTGTCCTGGACATAACTTTGAAACAACAAGAGGTATCAACATGAAACTTTGTAGGTAGATAGTTGTGTGCAGTGCACAAGAACCCTACTCTGGCTTGACTAATTTTTGAATTATTGGCCTTTGTTTATTTTTACACTTTGAACTTTGTCCGGGACATAACTCTAAAACTATAAGAGACATGAAACTTTGTAGGTAGATAGATCTCATTGAGTAGGTTTGCAGTGTACAGGAACCGTTACTCTGCCGTGCCTAATTATGCCATCGCAGCATCTGCGATGCGGTGGCATAGAGCGATTTGTGTGTGTGTGTGTTTGTATGTGTGTTATAAAGATTATATAGTGAACTTAAAAAATCTTCTTGTAAAAAACCACTAGTCCAATTTCAATCAAACTTGGCAGCATTGAACCTTGGGTGAAGGGCTTCCAAAGTTGTTCAAAGAATTTCATTCCATGCAGAAATCTGGTTGCCATGGCAACCAAAAGGAATTATAAGAATGAATTTAAAAAATCTTCTTGTAAAAACCCAAAAGGCCTAGAAGCATGAAACATGTTTTAGTGGGTGTCTACCAAGTTTGTTCAAATAAAAGCCCTGGGATCAAAATTGGCCCTTCTGAGGGAACGGGGTGGGGGGGGGGGTGTCATTTTTTTTCCCTATATGTATATAGTAAAAACTTAACAAATAAACTCCCCAAAGAGCTAGAGCTAAGATATTTTTCATGAAACATCTTCTAATGGGTGTATACCAAGTTTGTTCAAGTAAAAGCCTCTGGTCTAAATTTGGCCTTGGCCCAGGGCCATCATGGCCCGCTTGTTACTTATTACAGAGTTATTGCCCTTTCATACTTTTCCTTGTCCGAAGCTTAACTTGAAATGAACTGGTTGGAATTCAAAACGACTTGATACAATGGTCAAGCAGAATAAGAGGAACTGCAGTGCACAAGAACCATAACTCTATCTTA